CTGTTCCGGGTCACGGGGGGGGTTTAGTTGGGTTTCCCTTTTCCCCTGTTTTCAGGTCACTGTTCTGTTTTATTTTAACCTGTTTCCCCGGTCACGTTGCTGTTTTTACTACCTTGTCCCCTGTTTCCCAGGTTTTTTCAGGGGGAGGGGCTGTTTAAAGGCCCCCTTTTTCCGGGTCACTGTTGCGTTTACTACCTTGGCCGTTTCCCGGGCCCTGTTCTTTTTCACTACCTTGTCCCCTTTTTTCCAGGTCACTGTTGCTGTTTCATACCTTGTCCCCTTTTTTCCAGGTCACTTTGCGTTTTTTCCTTGCCCCTGTTTCCAGGTCCTGTTGCTTTTCCTCCTTGCCCCCTGTTTCCGGGGTCATGTTGTGTTCCCCTACCCTTGCCCCTTTTTTTCCAGGTCACTTTTTGTTTTGTACTACCTTTCCCTGTTTCCAGTCATTTGCGTTCACTACTTGTCCCGTTTCCAGGTCATGTGTGGTCACTACCTTTCCTTTTCCCCAGTCATTTGCTGTTGTATACCCTTGTCCCTGTTCCGGCCCCTTTTTCTTTTTCCCCCCCCACACCTGTTCCCTGTTTCCAGGTCATGTTTGCTTTTGTCATACCTTTGCCCCCTTTTCCGGGTAAAATGTTGCTTTGTCAATTTTTCCCTGTTTCCAGGTAAATGTTTTGCTGTTGTCACTACCCTTGTCCCGTTTCCAGTCACTGTTGCTGTTGCACTCCTTTTTCCCCTTTCCAGGTCATTTGCTGTTGTCACTCCCTTGTCCCGTTTCCAGTCATGTTGCTTTTGTACCCTTGCCCTTTTTTCCGGTCTGTTGCTTTTGTCCCCTTGTCCCTGTTTCCAGGCCCTGTTGCTGTTGTCATACCTTGTCCCTGTTTCCAGGTCCTTTTTGCTTTTGTATCCTTGCCCCTGTTTTCCGGGGTAAATTTTGGGTTTTGTCCCCCTACCTTTTTCCCTTTTTTCCAGGTAAATTTGCTGTTGTCAACCTTGTCCCGTTTCCGGGTCACGTTGCTGTTGTCCTACCTTTTTTTTCCCCCAGGTATTTTTGCGTTGTCACTCCCTTTCCCTGTTTCCGGTCATGTTGCGTTGCCAAACCTTGTCCTGTTTCCGGGTCAATGTTGCGTTTCACTTACCTTGTCCTTTTTTCCAGGTCATGTTGCTGTTGCCCCTACCTTGTCCTGTTTCCAGGTCATTTTGCTGTTGTCCTCCTTTTCCCTTTTTTCCGGGGTCAGTGTTGCTTTGTCACTACCTTGTCCTGTTTCCAGGTAAATGTTGCTTTTTGTCACTACCTTTCCCTTTTTCCCCAGCATGTTGCTTTTGAACTACCTTGCCCCTTTTTCCCCAGGTAACGTTGCGTTGTCATCCCTTGTCCCTTTTTTCCAGGTCACGTTGCTGTTCACTCCTTTGCCCCCTTTTTCCCAGGTAAAGTGCTGTTGTAAACCCCTTTGTCCCTGTTCCGGGTCACTTTTTGCGTTGTCCTACCTTTCCCCCTTTTTTCCGGGCATGTTGCTTTTTGTCACTACCTGTCCCTTTTTCCAGGTAAAGTTGCAAACCCCCCGGAAGGTGGTGTCATTTCTTTTTTTTTATTATTTTTTTTTATTATTTTTTTTATTTATTTTTTTTTTTTTTTTTTAATTATTTTTTTTTAATCAAATTTTTTTTTTGCATACCTTGGGTTCCGCCAGGTAAAGTGTTTTCCTTTGTCCCTGTTTACAGCTAAGGCATTACCGTCCCCGTTTTAGGGGTTTTTTCCTTCCCTTTTCCAGTAAGGCTTTTCCTCCTTTACCTTTTTTTAAAGCTGGCTTTTCCCCTCCCTTTTTCCCCAGTGGGGTTTTTTCCTCCTCCCTTTTTTCCCATAAGGTTTTATTCCTGTCCCTTTTTCCCCAGAAGGCTGTTTCCTCCTCCCTGTTAAATACTGGTTTTCCCCCTTTTCCCCCTTTCAGAAAAGGCTTTTTATCCCCTTTTTCCCCCATCGTTAACTACTGGTTTTTTCCCGGGGTCATTTTTCGTGGTTATCCTGCCCCCCCCGTTTCAGTAAGGCTGTTTCCTCCTACCTTTTTCCCAGTAAGGTTTTCCCCTCCTACCTCGTTTCCAGAAAACTTTTTCCCTGGGTTTCAACCTCGTTCCTTAAGGTATTTCGGGTTTCCCCCCCTTTTCCAGAAGGTATTATCCTTTGGGCCCCCCGTTTCGCGGTGTTTCCTCCTTTTCCCTTTTTTTCCCACTCCCCTTTTCCACCTTTTTTCCCTGTTTATTTGGCCCTTTTCCTACCCTGCCCAAGTAAAGGGTTTTCCCCAAACCTCCCTTTTTTTAACTGTGGCATTTTTCCTGCCACTTCGTTTACAAGCTGAGGTTTTAAAACCCCTAAAACCCCGGGGGTTTTATTATAAGATTTTATCTTTGGTTTATATAATTTATTATTTTTTTTTTTTTTAAATTTAAATTATTTTAAAAACATACTATATTTTGCTAACTTCTTTACCCCCTAAACTTTACCCCCTCACCCTTTTTATAGTGGCTTTACCCCTCCCTCCCTCGTTTACTACTAAGAGCCTATTTTTCCTGCCCCCTCGTTTACTAGCAAAGGCTATTATCCTGCCTCCCCTCTTTACTTTTTTATTATCCGCCTCCTCTTTTACTTGCAAGAGTTTTTCCCCTATTTTATATAAAATTTTCCTCCCACCCTCGTTTCTTTTCTTTCCCTCCCACCTCTTTTTTAATAGCTAAGAATTTTCCCCCTGCCCCCTCGTTTTTCTAAAGCTTTACCGCCTCACCTCTTACTGCAAGATTTATCCTGCCTCCACCTCGTTACTAGCTAAATTATTATCCTGCCTACCTCTTTTTACCAAGAGTTTATCCTCCCTCACCTCGTTAATAGCTAAGAGTATTATCCCTCCCCCTCGTTTATCTAAGCTGTTTACCGCCTCACCTCGTTAATAGCTAAGAGTTTTATCCTTTCCCTCCTCTTTAAAAGCTAGATATTACCTCCCCTTCCCCCTTTTTATAGCTAAGAGTTTACCTCCCCTCACCTCTTTTACTATAAAGCTTTATCCCCCATTTTAAAAAAAAAATTTAAATCCTGCCTCACCTGTTTACTAGCTAAGAGCTTTATTCCTCCCCGACAGCTAAGAAACCTTTTTCCCCCCCTTAAAATGCAAAGATTTACCCTCCCCCTCACCTCGTTTTATACTAAGGGGTTTATCGCCCCCCTGTTAACTAAAGTATTACCCTCCCTCTTTATGCTAAAGCTTTTACCCCCTTCACCCTTTTTAAATAGAAAAAATATTATCCTGCCTCACCTCGTTTACTATAAAGCTTTATCGCCTCACCTGTTTACACTAGAGCTTTATTGCCTCCCTGTTTACTAGCTAAGAGCTATTATCCTGCCTCACCTCGTTTACTAGCTACGATCTATTATCCTGCCTCACCTCGCTTACTAGTTAAGAGCTATTATCCTGCCTCACCTCGTTTACTAGCTAAGAGCTGTTATCCTGCCTCACCTCGTTTACTAGCTAAGAGCTATTATCCTGCCTCACCTCGTTTACTAGCTAAGAGCTATTATCCTGCCTCACCTCGTTTACTAGCTACGATCTATTATCCTGCCTCACCTCGCTTACTAGTTAAGAGCTATTATCCTGCCTCACCTCGTTTACTAGCTAAGAGCTGTTATCTTGCCTCACCTCGTTTACTAGCTAAGAGCTATTATCCTGCCTCACCTCGTTTATTAGCTAAGAGCTATTATCCTGCCTCACTTCGTTTACTAGCTAAGAACTATTATCCTGCCTCACCTCGTTTACTAGCTAAGAGCTGTTATCTTGCCTCACCTCGTTTACTAGCTAAGAGCTATTATCCTGCCTCACCTCGTTTACTAGCTAAGAGCTATTATCCTGCCTCACCTCATTTACTAGCTAAGAGCTATTATCCTGCCTCACCTCGTTTACTAGCTAATAGCTATTATCCTGCCTCACCTCGTTTACTAGCTAAGAGCTATTATCTTGCCTCACCTCGTTTACTAGCTAATAGCTATTATCCTGCCTCACCTCGTTTACTAGCTAAGAGCTATTATCCTGCCTCACCTCGTTTACTAGCTAAGAGCTATTATCCTGCCTAAACCTCGTTTACTAGCTAAGAGTATTATCCTGCCTCACCTCGTTTACTAGCTAAGAGCTATTATCCTGCCTCACCTCGTTTAATAGCTAAGAGATATTATCCTGCCTCACCTCGTTAATAGCTAAGAGCTATTATCCTGCCTCACCTCGTTTACTAGCTAAGAGCTATTATCCTGCCTCACCTCGTTTACTAGCTAAGAGCTATTATCCTGCCTCACCTCGTTTACTAGCTAAGAGCTATTATCCTGCCTCACCTCGTTTACTAGCTAAGAGCTATTATCCTGCCTCACCTCGTTTACTAGCTAAGTGCTATTATCCTGCTCACTCGTTTACTAGCTAAGAGCTATTATCCTGCCTCACCTCGTTTACTAGCTAAGAGCTATTATCCTGCCTCACCTCGTTTACTAGCTAAGAGCTATTATCCTGCCTCACCTCGTTTACTAGCTAAGAGCTATTATCCTGCCTCACCTCGTTTACTAGCTAAGAGCTGTTATCCTGCCTCACCTCGTTCAAAGGCACAGATACAGTAATGTCCCATACAGAGTGCTACCCACAACAGTCAAGTAATACCCAGGTGTCAGTGAACTGCCAGACGAAGCAGAGACAAGAGACATAAACAATAATATTACGTATATTTTTTTAAGTAACTAGTAAGGAGAATAAAGAGAAAATATCATAAATTTACAAATATATTGAGATACATAATAATTATATAAATAATTAACAGGTTCTTGATAATTCCAAAATTCAGTAAGATAGTCTAAGATTAATTATTATATTTTACACACACACACTCAGTGAAGAGGCGGGGCCAGGAGCTGACTCTCGGCCCCTGCAACCACAATTAGGTGAGTACACACACACACACACACACACACCACACACCACACACACACACACCACACCACACACACACACACACACACAAACACACGCACACACCAGTTTGGAACCCACACCTAGCCAAGCACGTAAAGAAACTAGAGAAAGTGCAAAGGTTTGCAACAAGACTAGTCCCAGGTTTAAGAGGTATGTCCTACGAGGAGAGGTTAAGGGAAATCAACCTGACGACACTGGAGGACAGGAGAGATAGGGGGGACATGATAACGACTTACAAAATACTGAGAGGAATTGACAAGGTGGACAAAGACAGGATGTTCCAGAGATTGGACACAGCAACAAGGGGACACAGTTGGAAGTTGAAGACACAGATGAATCATAGGGATGTTAGGAAGTATTTCTTCAACCACAGAGTAGTCAGGAAGTGGAATAGTTTGGGAAGCGATGTAGTAGAGGCAGGATCCATACATAGCTTTAAGCAGAGGTATGATAAAGCTCACGGCTCAGGGAGAGTGACCTAGTAGCGATCAGTGAAGAGGCGGGGCCAGGAGCTCGGACTCGACCCCCGCAACCTCAACTAGGTGAGCACACACACAGAGAAAGATCGCAGTCAGCAGGATTCGAAACTACTACTGAGGAGAGTGAAGATTCCCAGGCAGCGCTCTGGTCCACTCGGCCACACAGTGACATGTGAGTAAGTGCAGAAATAGGCAAGAAAACACACGGGTCATTATTGCCCTGGAGTGCATATGTATGAAACATTATACACAGTGTGACTTTGTCAATGGTCCAAGTCGGACCGAAACGTCGTCGTAAGCTTCTCTCTTTTATGTGCGGGTTATTTGTGTATCGTTCCAGTCACGGTATTGTGCCTTTTTTGTTATTTATGGAACATTATTCAGAAGATAGATAAGATTGTTTCAAACACAGAATTAATCTAGCGTCCATAACACTTTAAACCTTGATAATTGATTTATTTAAGAAAAAAAAAAAAACTACTGTCAACGTATTTGGTGTGTGTGTGTGTGTGTGTGTGTGTGTGTGTGTGTGTGTACTCACCTATTTGTGGTTCCAGGGGTCGAGTTTTAGCTCCTGGCCCCGCCTCTTCACCGGTTGCTACTGGGCCCTCTCTCTCCCCGCTCCATGAGCTTTATCAAACCTCGTCTTAAAACTGTGTATGGTTCCTGCCTCCACTACGTCATTTTCTAGGCTATTCCACTGCCTTACAACTCTATGACTGAAGAAATACTTCCTAATATCTCTCTGACTCATTTGTGTCTTCAACTTCCAATTGTGGCCTCTTGTTTCTGTGTCCCCTCCCTGGAACATCCTGTCTTTGTCCACCTTGTCTATTCCGCGCAGTATTTTATATGTCGTTATCATGTCTCCCCTGACCCTCCTGTCCTCTAGTGTCGTCAGGCCGATTTCCCTTAACCTTTCTTCATAAGACATTCCCCTTAGCTCTGGAACTAGCCTTGTCGCAAACCTTTGCACGTGTGTGTGTGTGTGTGTGTGTGTGTGTGTGTGTGTGTGTGTGTGTGTGTGTGTGTGTGTGTGTGTGTGTGTGTGTGTGTGTGTGTGTGTTGTGTGTACCACTACTGTCCTCCACCACCGTACAAAACGCTATCAATAAATTCGATGTGGTTTGCTACGCTGACGTAGAGGCCGGGCAGGCTGGAGATACCGCTACCCCGGCAGGAGACACCAGAACCCACGATCCCTACCAGGTAGCGTCGACCCTGGTTGTCCAGGAAGAGCGGCCCTCCTGAGTCACCCTAGAGTGGAAGAGCAAGAATATTATCATAGGTCACACTACCATAGCTTCAGTAACACCGTAGCTTCAGTAACACCGTAGCTTCAGTAACACCGTAGCTTCAGTAACACCGTAGCTTCAGTAACACCGTAGCTTCAGTAACACCGTAGCTTCAGTAACACCGTAGCTTCAGTAACACCGTAGCTTCAGTAACACCGTAGCTTCAGTAACACCGTAGCTTCAGTAACACCGTAGCTTCAGTAACACCGTAGCTTCAGTAACACCGTAGCTTCAGTAACACCGTAGCTTCAGTAACACCGTAGCTTCAGTAACACCGTAGCTTCAGTAACACCGTAGCTTCAGTAACACCGTAGCTTCAGTAACACCGTAGCTTCAATAATACGGTGGCTGGAACAATACAGTGGCTGGAAAATTAGTTTTCGTTATTGCCTATGGTCTTCTTTATTACCTATAACTTTCTTTATTGCCTATAGCTTCAGATTTCTTCACTGCTTATAGCTTTCTTTATTTCCTATAGCTTTAGTTATTTTCCATAGTTTTCATTATTCCTATAGCTATCGATAGAACTCACCATATATCTTTACTATGTAAAGAACTCTACATTATATACACTATATCTTAATTATATTATACACTACATGTTTACTATGCTGGACCGCCAATTAAGATCTAAATAGACTATTTCAGATCTATTTTTTACAGGTAAAGAGAAGTACTCACCTGACAAGCGCTCCTCTCTGGGTAGGAGGCACACATGACGTCTCTATCTTTCAGTAGGTTGGGATAGATTACCCTGAGTTGAGGCTCAAGGTCCTCTTTCTTGTAGATGTTCTCACAGTCTGCCGTGTCCACCACCTCCAGTTCAGCCTCCTGCAGGATGGGGGACTGGTGCGCTGTCACCCAGCACCAACAATTTGTTAATAAGTAGGACTCTGGTGTGTGTGTGTGTGTGTGTGTGTGTGTGTGTGTGTGTGTGTGTGTGTGTGTGTGTGTGTGTGTGTGTGTGTGTGTGTGTGTGTGTGTGTGTGTGTGTGTGTGTTGCCATTATGAAAGGTATCCACTGCCATTATTCGAGAAAATACTGAATTTATCTTTTTAGATACATTTTAAGGTGAAATACTTTTAGGGATAGACCCTAAAAATGTTTATTATACTAGTTTGTTATGGTCATTCAAGTTATATTACTGGGTAAACAATATTCATAACTACAGTATTAATTTCATGGGTAACTAGCATATACTAGTTATTCCCAAGTTCCTTGTATTTATTAACCTTTAATAATAGGTAATAGCTAGTAGTTTTAAGGTTCCTATTTTATTGCTTCTGTACTCAAATGTACTTTATCACGTAAATTTCTTATAAATGTAACATTAGATTAATCAGAAGAACTTTTCTAATCTTTTGAATAAAAATTTGTGAGAGGATTATAATTCCCTTCCTGTGCAAAACGACATCATTATTCTCTTACAGTTACTGCAAAAACAACGACTATAAACCATTGGTGTCCGTAGCTTGGTTGGTAGTGCACTCAGCTCACACATTGAGTGTCCCTGGTTCGATCCCTGTACGGGTGGAAACACTGGGGAGTGCTTCCTTAACTCACCTGTTGTCCCTGTTCACCTAGCAATAAGTAGGTACCTGGGTGTTATATTATTATAATCAAGGGGTAGCCGCAAACCCGGAGGATTATACAGCGCCTGGGGGGGGGGGGATGTGGAAGGCATTCAGGCTTAATTCGGGGAACTGGAGCACAGATCCAATTCCCTAAATCAAGAGCCCCTCACCAACATCAAGGAACCTATCCCTGTTAGTCGACTGGTATGGGTGGCATCCTGAGGACGAACTTGACCTAATTTGCCCGAAATCCTTCGCATAACAAAGGTTTCTCTATACATGTATAGTAGTGTGTCAGCTATGGTCTGTATATATTATACATTTACTTGCAGAAATAAAGATTATTATTACCAAACGATTTTGAATGTATAACTAAAGCAAAAACAAAAAAAAAAAGATCGAATTTTTGGAACTCCTCTCAGATACATTTTTGACAACCCAGACCTTGAACTAGATGACAATGAATCTAGAACTACCTAACTTACTAGTTAATAGTTCTAGTTCCCCCTTAATTACTGTTGTAGGTGCTGTTATTTATATTTTTTGTTGCTGTTATTATTATTACTGTTGACGTTGTTGTTATTGTCGCTGTTATTATTATTGTTGATGCTGTTATTGCTGTTATTATTATTGTTGATGCTGTTATTGCTGTTATTATTATTGCTGATGCTGTTATTGCTGTTATTATTATTGTTGATGCTGTTATTGCTGTTATTATTATTGTTGATGCTGTTATTGCTGTTATTATTGCTGATGCTGTTATTGCTGTTATTATTATTGTTGATGCTGTTATTGCTGTTATTATTATTGCTGATGCTGTTATTGCTGTTATTATTATTGTTATGCTGTTATTGCTGTTATATGCTGATGCTGTTATTGTGTTATTATTAATTGTTGATGCTGTATTGCTGTTATTATTTTGCGATGCTGTTTGTGGTTATTTTATTGCTGATGCTGTTATTGCTGTTATTATTATTGCTGATGCTGTTATTGCTGTTATTATTATTGTTTATATCAATAACTAAGTAGTGGTGGACTACAGCTGATCTCGTTGTTCCTATCGTACCTGTTTCTAAAACTCTGTAATATTGTTTGCCTCGGCTGTCTTTCCGACTACCTTTAATAATAATAATAAGATAGAGGTTGATAGAGCAAACATTTATTGGCACGTTTCTCTTTGTTAGAGCTTCTTCTAGTCACACGAAGCTCTACACAGAGAAAAACGTCTCAATGCAAGGCTATGAGGAGGCGAGAGATACTAAGAGATACTCACTAGCATTGATCAAGCCGAAGCCGGCGCCGGTGACGAGGGTCTTTGGTTTGGGACGTTCCCTCGTTAAGCAGTAAGGAAAGACGAATTCGTTGAAATCGATCTTCTGCACCGTCCTGAGCAGTGCTATGTCGTTGTACCGCTCGTTGGACTCAGGGCTGTGGATATAACAATACTAGCACGTTTCGCTTAAGCAATGTCAGTAAGGGAAAACATCGTTGTCAGAAGGTTCTTCTCCTCAGCGCGAAATTTTGAACTGTTCCAGTCACGGTATTATGCCTTTTTTAATCTTCAAAATTATATTTGGGCCTTTCACCCAGAATTAGGCTAGATGAGGCACACAGAAAAAAAACAAGAAAAAAACTACTTATAAAGCATGCAGGTACTCTGAGGTCAGGTCAGGTGGTGCAGAGGTCAGAGGTCAGATGATAACAAAAGAGGGCGAGGCCTGGCTCTGAGGGTCAGGTCACGGAGTGCTGTTTGGTTGATTCTGGGAAATGTGGGAGATGAATTTCGCTGATGTATTCATTACTTTAATTCGTCCTGCTGTCTAGGTGAGGCAGATAGCAGCTCTCTTTTCATCTCCTTTTGATACGTCATAACAGGGCAATATATACATTGAACAAAAGGACGTTAATTAGGAGCACAAAATAGTCTTCGAATGTGAGGCACCTTGCTGCTTCGTAGTGTGTTGAAAACGTATTCCACACACACATATACACACACACACACACACACTACACACACACACACACACATACACACACACATACACACACACACACACACATACACACACACACATACACACATGATAGCGACATATAAAATACTGCGTGGAATAGATGAGGTGGACAAAGACGGGAAGTTCCAGAGATGGGACACAGACACAAGAGGTCACAATTGGAAGTTGAAGACTCAGATGAATCAAAGGGATGTTAGGAAGTATTTCTTCAGTCATAGAGTAGTCAAGCCGTGGAATAGCCTAGAAAGTGAAGTAGTGGAGGCGGGAACCATACATAGTTTTAAGGCGAGGTATGATAGAGCTCATGGAGCAGGGAGAGAGAGGACCTAAGCAATCAGCGACGAGGCGGGGCCAGGAGCTATGACTCGACCCCTGCAACAACAAATAGGTGAGTACAAATAGGTGAGTACATACACACACAACACACACACACACACACACACACACACACACACACACACACACACACACACACACACACACACCTACACACCTACAACAGGCCTAGTGTCTAATCGACATGTGCCTAGGACAAAATGGTAACTAACTAACATATACACATACACACGCTACCTCTGCTCCTGTAACTACCAATGTTTAGTCACACAAACACATTACCGTGATTGTTATTGTATCTTCCAGCTGGAAAAAAAAAAAACCTACTCAAAATCAGGATGAACGATGATCTGCTCGACTTCATAGTCAACAGGCTTGGAGTTGGCCTCATCGTCCTTGGAGAAGTCGAGCTCGCCGAGCCTCACCGTCCGCACCCTGCAGGAGGCAACATCGAAGTAGTATACACACTGGCGACAAGACTCAGGCAGCAGAAGGAAGTCTTTATTAGTACGACTGTACCTACTTGGGGACCTAATTATTTATTTGATAAAGCCTCGCGTAAGTGAAACGTCGTACTTATAAAAAAATTCTTGTGCTGTATATGTATTTTTTACCATTTGTCGGCTACGCCATCTTTTATCTCTTATCATAAATATTGCTAGAATTACCGATAATAAGTGAGTACTCATGGGCAACTATAGCTTCTACGTTTCGCTCTCCAGAAGCTTCAACCAGGCTGTTGCTGCTGGTCGCACGCAATCAGACGTACGAACCACAGTCCAGCTGGTCTGGTACATGAGCACAAGTGTTCTAAATAGGTGCTGACAAATAACACGAGAACCTCTTGAGATCTTACAAGACTTGATGAAGCTCGTAGAGAGCGAAACATAGCCGTAATGTTTCAATAGTTTCTCATACTCAATTTTACAAAACATCGAAGTACCTCAATGGCGTGACCAGGAAAAACTGAGAACATGTTATACCAAGAAAATACGTATTTCCCCCATTTGTAAATTATATTAACTTGTGCGAGGTAGTTATATAATTCATCAGACATTAAAATTAGGTTATAGATCTAGCGACAGCTCTGGGATGCGGTGCAAGAGGGTTCTCCAGTAGCTCAGAAACCCGATGCGCATCAGGAGCCAGAGGGGTGCCCGATCCCTTTGGGACAAAAATAGTGCTGATGGTCCATGGTTCCTATAACTCTAAAGCTGTTTTAATACGTACGGGAATTTTGGATTGAAGACGCAGTGGGCAGCCGTCACCAGGTAGCGATCAGAGATGGGTGTAGCCCCACAGAATGTCTCGTTCACGTTCACTGCTTGTCTGGTCACTGGTGTCATCATGTCCACCTTACCTGTGGTGGTGATGTGACTTCGGTTAGATGACCCAAACTTAAGTGCGAGTACTGCTGTTTTAGTTCACTCTACCTGACCACTACGAGTAAACTAACTCTTACCTAATCACCCAGAGTAAACAAACTCGACCTGTCCATTACGAGTTAACGTCACTACGTAGATCATATCTGACGGTCTTCAGTAATGTTATAATAAGTTTTTGTGTCCATTGAGATTGAATAAGATAACAAATAATTATTACCTGGTAGAATAGCTATAGGCTTCCTGGCTGCTTGCGTCGCTCTCTGTAACAAGCACGAAAAAATAACATTATTATTGTTATTATTATTATTATTATTATTATTATTATTATTATTATTATTATTATTATAATTATTATTATTATTATTATTGATAAGTAAGACACATATGCAACAGTTAGTTATCTTTATTCCAAAACGTTTCGCCTGACCTCAATTGTAGACAAATTACTAGAGTCAATTATAGCTCAGATTATAAGAAGCCATCTCGATAAGGATAGCTTGATTAATGATACTCAGCATGGATTCACAAGAGGCTGGTCTTGTCTAACTAATTTATTAACTTTCTTCAGTAAAGCTTTTGAGGCTGTTGACCACGATAAAGAATTTGATATTATTTACTTAGATTTTAGTAAGGGTTTTGATAGAGTTCCGCACCATAGACTGTTAAAGAAAGTGACAGCTCATGGCATTGGGGGAAAAGTGCTCTCGTGGATCGAGTCATGGCTCACAGACAGGAAGCAGAGAGTGTCCATAAATGGGGTTAAATCCGAGTGGGGATCTGTAACAAGTGGCGTTCCACAGGGATCAGTCTTGGGCCCGTTGTTGTTTATAATATATATCAATGATCTTGATGAGGGAATCACTAGTGATATGAGCAAATTCGCCGATGACACAAAGATGGGTAGGATAATTGATTCAAGCGTGGATGTTATGGAACTTCAGGAGGATTTAAACAAACTCTATTCTTGGTCAGAAAAGTGGCAGATGCAGTTCAATGTAGATAAATGCAAGGTTCTGAAGCTCGGGAGTGTCCATAACCCTAGCACTTATAAGTTAAATGTGGTCAGTCCCAGAGCTTCAGAACCTTGCATTTATCTACATTGAACTGCATCTGCCACTTTTCTGACCAAGAATAGAGTTTGTTTAAATCCTCCTGAAGTTCCCTAACGTCTACGTTTGAATCAATTATCCTACCTATCTTTGTCTCATCGGCAAATTTGCTCATATCACTAGTAATTCCCTCATCAAGGTCATTGATATATGTTATAAACAACAACGGGCCCAAGACTGATCCCTGTGGAACGCCACTGTTACAGATCCCCACTCGGATTTAACCCCATTTATGGACACTCTGCTTCCTGTCTATGAGCCATGACTCGATCCATGAGAGCACTTTTCCCCCAATGACATGAGCTGCCACTTTCTTTAATAGTCTTTGGTGCGGAACTCTATCAAAAGCCTTACTAAAATCTAAGTAAATAATATCAAACTCTTTATCGTGATCAACAGCCTCAAAAGCTTTACTGAAGAAAGTTAATAAATTAGTTAGACAAGACCGGCCTCTTGTGAATCCATGCTGAGTATCATTAATCAAGTTATGCTTATCGAGATGGCTTCTTATAATCTCAGCTATAATTGACTCTAGTAATTTGCCTACAATTGAGGTCAGGCTTATTGGGCGGTAATTTGACGGTAACGACTTGTCCCCTGTTTTAAAAATAGGAATTACATTAGCCATCTTCCACATATTAGACATTACACCTGTTTGAAGAGATAAATTAAAAATATTAGTTAATGGTTCACAGAGTTCCATTTTGCATTCCTTAAGAACCCTTGAAAAAACCTCATCAGGACCCGGCGACTTATTTTGCTTCAGTCTGTCTATCTGCTTCACAACCATCTCACTAGTGACTGTGATGTTACATAATTTATCTTCTTCTAGCCCACTATAAAAATTAATTACTGGAATATTGTTAGTGTCTTCCTGTGTAAAAACCGAGATAAAATAATTATTTAAAATCGAGCACATTTCATTCTCTTTGTCAGTAAGATGCCCATAGTTATTTTTAAGGGGACCTATCTTATCTCTAACTTTTGTTCTATAGACCTGGAAAAAACTTTTTGGGTTAGTTTTAGAATCCCTAGCAACTTTAATTTCATAGTCCCTTTTAGCTTTTCTTATTCCCTTTTTAATGTCCCTCTTAATGTCAATATACTGATTCATAAGATGACCCTCACCTCTTTTGATACGCCTATAATTTTTTTTCTTATGCTCTAGTAGATATTTGAGCCTATTATTCATCCATTATGGATCATTTCTATTTTATCTAATTTCTTTATATGGGATAAACGTTCTTTGAGCAGCATGTATAGTGTTCAGAAAACTGTCATATTGATAGCTCTCTTCGTTACCCCAGTCAACAGATGATAAGTGTTCTCTAAGCTCATCGTAATCTGCTAAGCGAAAATCTGGGACTGTTACTGAGTTATCGCTACTATCGTACTTCGATTCAATGCTAAATGTAATTGATTTGTGGTCGCTAGCACGCAGTTCCTCTGAAATTTCTAAATTATTAACAAGGGATTCATTGTTTGCCAGAACTAAGTCAAGCAGGTTATTTCCCCTTGTAGGTTCTGTCACAAACTGCTTCAAAATACAATCCTGAACTACTTCTAAGAAGTCGTATGATTCTAAATTCCCAGTCAAGAAATTCCAATTAATATGACTAAAGTTAAAGTCTCCTAGAATTACTACATTATCGTGCCTTGTGGCCTTAACAATTTCCTCCCATAGTAGTCTCCCTTGGTCCCTATCTAAGTTTGGGGGACGGTATATCACTCCTAAAATCAGTTTTTCATGCCCCTCTGAAAATTCTAGCCAAACAGACTCTGTATGTGTTACTTCAGACTTAATACCCGTTTTGATGCAACAGTTCAAGCGATCTCGGACATACAATGCCACCCCACCCTGTTCCCGATACTTCTATCTACTTGGAACAATTTAAAACCCTGAATGTGACATTCCGCAGGCATGTCCCGACTTTTTGAATTAAACCACGTCTCAGTTAAGGCAAATACATCAATGTTACCTGCACTAGCAACTAATCTCAACTCGTCCATCTTATTCCTAGCACTACGGCTATTAGCATAATAAACATTGAAAGACTCTCCTTTCTCTTTACCCTTCCTGCTCATTTCTGTTTTTCTATTAAACCTATTACTGTCCTTATCACCCAGTGTCATTGGCTTTTCAATATCTACCTCGTTCTGCTTATTACTAGTTCCCCTAGAACTCATAATATTACTACACTGGGACTTCACTGTTTTCCTGCCAAAACCCATACCACTAACTATTCCTAGTTTAAAGTCCTAACAGTTCCCTCCACTGCAGTTGCCAGTGCTCCCACCCCAGACCTAGATAAGTGAACCCCATCCCTGGCATACATGTCATTTCTGCCATAGAAGAGGTCCCAGTTGTCAATGAATGTTACCGCATTTTCCTTACAGTATTTGTCCAGCCAGCAATTGACACCAATTGCCCTGGACAACCATTCATTTCCAACTCCTCTCCTTGCAAAATACCACATATGACAAGGTTCCCACCCTTCCTCCTAATTGTTTTTATTGCTGACCTATACCTGCTAATCAGGTCTTCACTCCTACGTCTGCCAACATCGTTGCCTCCAGCACTGAGACAGATAATAAGATTGCTCCCATTACCTCTCATGATGTCATCCAGACGGCTAACAATATCCTCCATCCCAGCCCCAGGAAAGCAAACCCTCTGTCTCCTACTCCTGTCCTTCAAGCAGAACACCCTATCCATATACCTAACTTGGCTATCCCCAACAACAACAATATTCTTACCTTCCTTGGTGTGGTTCGTCGTGACGTTCCCAGTAGTCGACTCACATTCGTCGGGTAGCACTGAGAATGTATTAGATGTTTCCACAACAGTTTCCACGGCAGTCTCTTTCTTCTTCATCGTTTCTACCTTTCCATTCGTCTTCTTGATCGTCAACTTCGTTCCCTGCTGTCCAGCCACTGACCAGTTTCCTTTCTTGACCTGAGGACTCAAAACAGGAGGACTACTACGAATCTTCTTGTTTTCCTCGGTCAGTCGCCGAATCTCCATCTTCGCCATCCTCAATTCTTCCTTAAGCTGTTGGTAAAGTTGCTCTATGGAGGCCATCTTGCTTCAATTCGTAGAGAGCGCGCAAACAGGTCTTCACAGAGCTAAGTACACGTCACCACTGAGCTAAGTACACGTCACCACTGTATGTTCCGGTAACCTAGTGTCAAAGTGTCTCACTTTCTTTTTTCTACATAAACTGTGTCACTTCCACAGTGGGATCCTGGGATGGGGTCACCTCGTGAATTCTTAAATAATTCTCGTGGCGAGAACAACAACGCCATTGTGAGATGTCGGAACTAGAGGAGTGAAGGAAGCCTCTGTCTATCCTCTTAATTTTCATCTCTCTGTCTGTCCTGACAAAGAGAATGTGAAAATTAAGAGGATATGACTGTAGGTACATTTAAGAGGATTTGATTTTTGGTACATTTAAGAGGATATGATTATAGGTACATTTAAAAGGATTTGATTGTTGGTACATTTAAAAGGCACAAGATTTACTGAGGCCCGACACGTCTTACTGGAAGAGATAACTGGTATAAAATACCGACTCGATGGAAAAATAGACATAAATGCAGCATAATATGATCTGTTATTGACAACGTTTCGCCCACACAGTGAGCTTTGTCAATTCACAAACAGATCTACCTTGGTAAAGAGTACGTGAGTGTATATAGGTATATATGCAGGTCCGTCTCCAATACAACGAGACTCTCGATCCAATATGTACTCATGTACTCTTTGCCAGGTAGATCTATTACTCTTATGTACACAGCTGTTGTGGTGTTGTATTTCACCGTGTCCAGGCTGTTACTGATGGCCACACGTAAACTGACATACGAACCACAGCTCGGCTGATCAGGTGCTGACTCCAGGTGCCTGTCCAGCGCCTTCTTGAAGACGGCCAGGGGTCTATTCGTAATCCTCCCAGCATATATTAGGGGGATTACCAATAGACCCCTGACTGTCGTCAAGAAGGCACTGGACAGGCACTTAAAGTCAGTATCTGACTAGCCGGGTTGTGGT